AATCCAAAAGTGGGCGGGGCCTCGAGACGGCAGAAGGGGCGTGGCTTCGGTGGCCCCGCCCCTCTCCCGGTCTTCTCTTCACGGAACCGAAGTGAACCGAACCAGGGCTGATTTTTCCCTGCCGGGGATAAGTTTCTCTGTTGCAAATGTGCACGTCCACCACCGGTTTCGGGGGAGGCAGGGATTACCCTGGATAGAATAAGGCTTGGTGGGGGGTTGTCTTTGCCGTTACTCCTCGACGGGAGAGAAAGAGAAGAGAGATTTTATCGTTTCGACTCGCCTCTCCACCGTAGGAGACGGTAATGAGCGTAATTGACCAATTAGGACAGGTGATTAAGAGTGGAAAAATGCAGGCACGCCTCGAGTGGCTTCGATCATCGTTCGCTTATTGATCCACTCCGCGGTTTCGAAATCTCAGAGCGAGGTGGATTCGATACGGTGATGAATGTCTTTCCCTCCCTGATCGATCCGCGCCAAACTGATCAAACGTTGTAATCAAACGACGTAATCGAGATTTCGTATTACGATTTCTTATAATTAAATATTGCTCTAGAAAACTCTAGAGTCTGATGAAGAAAAAAGAAAAAAACCTTAATCCAAGAGAAATTAAACGACTGTTGATATCTATTTTATTCTTTTTCGTTGATAAAAGTGTACATATATATATACTTATCAATTTTGTGGATCAAATTATTTTGATCCGTGATAACTAAATTTTGAAAATTTGCCATCAAAATTGAAATCAACTCGACAACTACATGAATTCATTTTTATCAATGTTTTTACCTTAAATCAAAGGAATAATTTTATAAGAATTTTCTCTATTACAAATCATAGAAAGATAGAAAAATTTTTGATTAAAATAGAATAATAGCAACTTCATTAATAAATTCATTATTTCAATTAATTAATTCTTGTTTATCCTATACACAATGCCTTCAAAAAGAAACCTCTTTCTTAAATTTTGCGATCTTAAGAATTTAATAATTACCTATGCAATCTACCTATTCTACATTACAATCCATCCTCGTTACAATTAACCACCAAACTGAACCACCAAATAAATTGATCGACCAATTAAACCGAAGAAAGAGAAGACGGA